CCGCCCGGCTCTCCTCACATCTCTGAGATTAACACAACCACTTCTAATCCTTCATTATTCCCAATAAAGTCCAAACTCTTTAACATGACCTCTTACCACGCACACTGCTAATGGCTACTATCCTCTTGCACCTTAGTAGCAAACCCCTGACTGGTTGAGACAGTAGAGTGCCCTAGAAAAAGGGGTACCTAGGCTTCCCCAGATGTGTTTTTCAGAGATGTCAGCTGGTACTGGAATCTAAACGCACTGGCAACTCAGTGATTTGAAAAAGTTACTGTCTTTCCAAAAGCTAGAATCTTCTCTTCTAGAAAATGCTGTGTCAAAGTGTCTATAAAATGTCTAAACGCAAACATTTTCTGTTACCAAATTCTGGGCAATGAAACAGAAGGGGGACCATTTCTTACAGCTTTCAGGTGAGAACAGACCCCAGGCTGGGCCCTCTTTGCCCATTCGCCATTTCTTCTCTTGTTTTCTGCCATTTTCAAAGCCATGCTGTCTGATGCTTTGTCAGCCATCCTAAATATGAGACACAGGTAAGAACTGATGTCATGTGCCTTGGGTGGCTAGGGAAAACAACCCAAAAAGCAGCTCAGTGCTCAGTTCCTACGGAGCTTCCCCACAGCCCCGTGGTTTGGACTTCTTTAGTATGAGGAAATAATTTTGTATCTTAAGTCATGATCTTTTACTAGCTGTCAAACTGAAACCTAATACAGGCTTCAAAGCGTTTCACAATCTGACCTTTGTCAAGTTTACCTCTCCCTGTATATTTTCAAATGCAACAATTTATCCAAACTAAATGCTTTTTAGTGTCTTTACGCTAATCTCTTAGTCTTTTCTTCTTCTGCTTAATTTTATTTTTTATTTTTGAAACAGGGTCTCATGAAACCCAGGCTGGCCTCAAATGTCATGAAACCACAACTGTCCTTGAAACCCTGATCCTCCTGCCTCTCCACCTTATAAGTGCTGAGAATACATGCGTGCATGCCCCCACATCCAGTTTCTCTTTCCATTTAGTGTTTACAAGCTGCAGCTTCTCCCTGGATGGGATCCTCTCCCTATGCCCAGCTTGGCTACCCCCAATTGTCCTTCAGATCTCAGCTTAAAATATTTCTTCAGTTTTGTTTCCTGATACTAAAAGAGGACTTGATCATGTTACTTACTATACTGTGAATTATATTTACCTGATTTTCTCCACCACAGACAGTAAACTCTGTGAAAACAATGAAGTACTTCATCTTACTCAGAACTCTATTCCAACTGCCTCGCAGAGATATTAAAGTCTTAAGTTTTTCTTGACTAGATGGAGTAAATGAACGATGGAGATGTGGCAGAGGTTAGTTAAGGACGGCAGCTTTGGTAACTTTGCAATGAAGAATGAGCTGAAATGAGTGGTATATTATAGTTTATTATTTATACTATACCCTCTTCCGAAAAGGACTTAAAGAGGCAGGATTACTGCAGTACAACCTCACAGCGTGCCAAGTGGAACTCCTCAGAACTTCCCTTCAGAGACACTGATTTAGGAGACTCTAGTGGAAGACTACAGGGTCATTTGGGGGCAGGAGGGGTACTAAGAAAGCAGTGGCATCTTGTCCTACCTCATCTTCCCGCTTCTCATTTGGAAGTCCTACCACAGAAGAAAACCACTGGTGGGAGGGTTGTAGCAGGAGAAAGTTAGCAGAAAGCGGGGGAAGGCTAATTCTCAGTCCACCGTCGGCCATCCTCTCCTCCCTTTGTGCTGATGGCCAGGAAAGTGTCCGGTCTTCTCCATGTGCTCTGCTGGGCCTGGGACTTCCTCCCACTGAGAACAGCCAGACTGATCAGTCTTCAAGAGGTCCACTGCTAGCTGCAGGGTCCGGGCTCTGCCCCACCATCATCCCCGTCCTCCTCATCAGACTGTGCCAAGGGTGTGTCTGCTCCCCCATCACTTGGATTTGGACTGCGTAGGTTGGACGAGTCAGAGGACAAGGAGGAGGTTCGGGATGTGGTCCTGTCTGGCGTGGGTACCGGCAGGCTCAGCCCCTCTGAATGGCTGTCCACTCCTACCCAGAGAGAAGAGCTGGTTAGGACCACACACAGGGCTTTAGAGAACTCAGAGATGTATCTGGCCAAAGAAACTGAAGTAGAAAGAAGGGTGGGCACCTGTCCAGAATTACTTCCCCACACAGTAAGAAGCCAGGATAGGACCTCCAGCCCCTTCCAGATCACTGTACCATCCTATGTGCTGGAATCAACCCAAGAGCTCAGGCTCTACCTCACTTCTTCCTGAATGGCTGTAGGCATGTCATTTTCCCTATCCTAGTCCTTCCTGTGAAAAGGACACCTACATTTCTAAGTTTTTACGGTAAAATCTTAAGAATGCCTGTAGAACATCTGAGGCCATCAGAAAATAATAGCAATTTGTTTTTTTGCAGACAGGATCTTGTTCTGTAGCTGGCTTCAAAATCACCATCATCCTGCTTCTGTTTCCTGAGGCCTGTCATTAGACGAAGCTAGAAGTCTCGGTAGCAGTTTTAAATAAGAGTATGTATCTTACACATTAAGCATCCAGGATTGGGAGCCAGATAAGAGTTTGAATACCAGCTTTTCCATTTCCTGCCTATGTGAGTGAACTTTTCTGAGCCTAATTTTCTTTTCTTTTCAGTGCCAAAATCAAACTCAGGGTCCTGTACCTGCCAGGCAGGCATACTATGTATATTATGCTTCTGAACTCAATCCCTAGCCTCTAATTTGGAGACAGGGTTTCTCTGTGTAGCTCTGGCTGTCCTGGAACTCATTCTGCAGACCAGGCTGGCCTCCAAATCACAGAGATCCACCTGCTTCTGCCCTGAGTGCTGGGGTTAAAGTCGTGTACCACCACCACCTGGCCTCTAACTTCTTTCTTTATGAAATGAAGAGTCTACTCCCTATCTTCATAGAACACTATAAAGATCGAGAAGGGGGCTAGAGAGATGGCTCAGCAGTTAAGATCACTGGCTCCAATTCCAGAGGACCTGGGTTCAGTTCCCAGCACCCACATGGCAGCTCACAACTATCCAGTTCCAGGGGATCTGACACCTTCACACCAATGCACATAAAATGAATTTAAATAAATCATTAAAAAAAGATAGAGAGAAAATATGTGCAATATTAAGAACCCAGTAAACTGTTTGGTAAAATTTAGTATTATGACTAAAATCGCTTAGGTTGTCTAACAGGATCATTATGTTTTACATTATCTTAGTTATGGTAACTACATGAATTTCACAAATATAAAAATTTAAAAGCTAGATTAATTAGCCGTTCCTAGACCAGTTCCTCCTGAGAGTCAACTTCCCTAAATCAGAACAGCCGGCTGTTTCTCTAGCAGAGACACACACTTCCAGCTTCTACTTAAGAGTCTTTCCTAGCTCAGATGTGCAACCTCATTTCTGGGCCCAAATATCCAGTTCTGGCCAAATGGTACCCGGGTCCCCAAAGCAGAGAGGCATACCAGACATCTGAGGAGTTGGTGGAGAATCCTCACAAGGCAAGAACACATCTGCTCCATCCTGATCCGCAAGGTCAATAAATTCCACCTGCTCCAGTGTGTCCACATTCACCTCCATGGACGAGATGCTTCCTATGGGGGCTGCAGATGAGAGAGGCCTTAGGGCAGGCAGACCAGGCCAAAGCTGAGAGGACGGTCAGCCTTGCCTGTAAGGTCCTCATTTCAGTTTACTGGGCCACAAAAACAGGAAGGGAGATAGCCCCCAAGATTTGAGAGCCAGAGGGACATCTTCCCCAACCTACCCTAATTCTATTCCTCAGGACTCGAAACTCACGTCTTTGTGACTCGAGATGCAGATGGGAGAGCGGGAAGACGAACTCTGTCTCTGGCTGTAAAATGTCCTCGAAGAATTTCTGCCGCTCCCTGAGACGCAGCTGCTGGCGCTCCAGGGCTGCTCGTGGATTCGGGTCCATGTCAGCCCCTGGGGGGTAAAGAAGCAAGACAAAGACAGTTGTGGGGATGAGAGGGAAAGAAGTGGGAGCCGAGGCACAAGGAGCCCCGTGGGAGCCAGCATCCCGGCCTTTGCTTTCAGTCTGGAGAGCGCTGGCCTGGGCAGCCTCTTTCCCTTCTGTGAAACAAAACTCATCCCACAAACTTCAAGCTCAGATAGAGGAAGGGCCAGCCCTGGTTCCACAAAGGGGATGTCAGTTCCAGGCACCACAAGAGCCTGCTGTTCATCCAGGCTGCCAATGGCTGCCTAACTGCCAACAATGCCCTTCTGAGAGGCTGGGAGGGGCTGGCCACTTCATGGACCCCGCTCCCCTCAGAAGGCCAGGGACTAACAGGGTGCTGCAGCTCTGGTTCTTCCCACCCCTTCAAAACCCAAAGAAAGACTCCAGCAGCTTTCCTCCCCCACACTTCTCTTTTTCTCCACACACACCATCACCATGATCCTCATTATCTCCAAATCCTTTCTCTGAAGGCAAAGACCTAAACTTCCTGGCTTGCCTCTGCCCCTGAGAAAACCATCTTTCTGGCCCCAGGTTCCCACCTGAAGGCATTATCCTACCTACTTGTAACACTGCACGGCAAGACTCCGTGAAGGAAAGCTGTTTAGAGAACCGGCCACCTTTCCTCCGGTCTGTGAGATTGTTCTCCTCCTCTCTCACACATCTGTCTGGCTTACCACCTCCCCTCCTACCAAGTACCAACTAGAAGGGTGGGGCCTGGGTAGTGCAGACCAGGCCTCTGGACTCCCAGTGCTGAATTTTGCAGACCACCACAGCCCTGTTCGTTCACTCTCATTCCTGGTACACTGCTCTGAACCCATCACCAGGAGCAGGAAAATGTCTAGGGTGAGGACCAAATTGTCATCCTCCAAAAACCTCATCTGGACACAGTGTATCCCAGCTCTTGGCCAGGTCTTCAAGCACTGGGGTAACTCATGAGGAACCCAAAATCAATGAGCCAGGCATGACCAAGGAAGTGCCAGGAGCTGATGTGGCCGCCGCCGGCTGGCCTTGGAGAAGGGAGACGCTGACGCGGACTCCAGAGAAAGACTCTTAGAGCTGCCGCCCAGGTCACAACGCTAAAAATACCCAGGGCCCCAGGGGCGGTCTGCGGAGCTGCGGGGAGGGGAGATGAGCTGCCACGGACCGGGGCCACTCGGACACCTCTCTCCTCTCCCCTCCCCCTGACGCTGTGGTCTTACCAGGTTGAAGAGATTGCCCACCAGGGGCCGCGGAGCTGAGATCGGGAGCTAGGTAGTTGTTTACGCGACCATAGGTACTAGGAAGAGTGGAGATTTGGAGACAGGCTGCTGAGACCCAGGCAGGAGCCAGGAAAATGGAGAACGCCCTCTGCCCCGGCCCCACCCGCGCCCGAGGAGGCAAGAGGCAAAGAATTCCCTAAAAGGGGACCGGCGCGTGGGCGAAGACGGGGCGGGCGGAGGAGGGCGCCCCGCGTTCCCGTGCTGCGTGGCCCCGGTCCGCCACACCTGATTCCAACCCGCGCACCCCCTACCTGCAGCGCCCGCAGCCCGCTGGCTCACTGGAAGCGCTCCCGACAAGCGGCGGCGGGGGCGTGGGAGCGAGCAGCGCCGGCCGGGTGGGGCTATGCCTGCGGGGCTCCCTGGGGACCGGCGGCCCTGGGAGCCGGGAACGAGGAAGAGGCGGGAGGCGGAAGTGGGGGCGGGGCGGGCACTCGGGGCCGGCGGCGGGGGACTGCCCCACGGAACGCCGCGACCCGGACTTGCGGGGCGGGCGAAAAGTTCCCGCACGCATCCCTCCTTGCTCTGGCGGTCGCGACCGCCTGCGCGGTGCTGCGCGCGCCCCGAAGCGCTTGCGGCACCCCCGCCCAGCGCACAGCGGCGGCGGGCACACGCGCCGGCTCCGGCCCACGCACACTTGATGCGCTCCGACTTGCGAGCAGCGCCCACGCAACGACCACGCGCACGCACCCATTGCCCGCCTCTCCGCACCTCGAACAACCTGGCCACGCTTACGCGCGTACTTTTCCAGGAGGTGCGGGATGGGGAAGCCAGGGTCGGCTGCGGCTCAATGAGACAGGTGCATTGCGGCTAACGACCCGGTACCTTGGATTCCCTCAGCTGGCCCCAGGACGACACCGAGCCGCCGCCCTACTGGTCAGCGCACTAGGCGGGTCTGGGCTGGAGAGGATGAGCCGGTGCCGCACCCTACACGCCGGCAGGGAGCCAACACCTCGAGGTGTTAGCAGAGATGCCAGACGTCCGGCCAGGCGTGGGTGGGCGGTCCAGATGGAAACTGCCCACTTTACAGCACCTCCTGGCTCAGACCAGTGCTAGCAGTGGCCAGCATAGCAGCTCCTGGATTAAGCCTGTTCCCTTTTTTCTTCTTCTCTCTCACCCATCCCCTTGTTGTCTGTCTGTCTGTAGGTCTGTCTGTGTGTGTTCATTAGAAATCTGTGTTGGGGGTCAAGCTGTCTGGAAGCCATCATCTCCCTCTCCTTTGAAGCCCATATTAAAATACTCCTCCATTTCATGTCAGTTCTGTTTCCTGAGTATCTTTTCAGTCCACCATTCCTGTTTCCACCACTCTCTGGCCTGGCTCCCACTGTAGGAGCCTCCATCAGGTTCTCCTGTGTCCTCTCTAGTTGAGCTACATTCTGCACACAGCAGTCAGCTTGGGCAGTGCAGAGCACAAGTGTTCTAATCCCTCCTTTGTTAAAGTAAAATCTAGGCTCTGTTGTGGCAAATCAGTCTCTCTGTCTCTCTTCCTCTCCCTCTCCCCTCCCTGTCTCTCTCTATGTCTCTGTCTCCTCCCACCCCCCACCCCCAGGGTTTCTTTGTGTAGCTCTGCTGTCCTGGAACTTGCTAGGTAGACCAGGCTGGTCTCAAATTAAGATCTGCCTGCCTCTGCCTCCCAAGTATGCTTCCGTGCTCAGCTTCTAAGTGAAGTCTTGAAAAGCAGGGAAGAGGAAGGGCATGGGCAAAGGGATGGCTGTGAAAAGCATGAAGATTGGGTTCCCCACAGAGAGATCGTACTCCAGCAATCCTAAGGCACTGGCTCTTCTGTGACTGGAGAAGAACCCTGTGAAGTAACTACAGCAAGCAACTTCCTCCTCGGCAAGAGCGGAGCTAGTTCAGGGGCAGCAGTGAGTGAAGGGGCTGAGTGTGGGTATTGATTGCTGTCAGAGCCCTTCTTAAGCTGTAAACCTACCGAAGCTTCTGGCCACCTCAGCAAACACATCTCCGATCCTCGATCCTGTCCATTACTAGGAATAATTAATCCCCCCTCTTATAATTCATACAAAATGCTTAGTGTAGGCCTCCGGCTACACTGGAAATGCTCCATAAGCCTTAGCTCTCTTGGTTGGGATGGGTTCTGAGAAAGGGAAAGAGCTGCATCCTACCATGTACTTGTGACATCAGGAAGGGAGCCCTAATTCTCAGCACTTCTATGGGAGTTACCGGCGTCAGGTGTACAATAAGTGCTTTACATATATTAACCCTTAATCCTTGGAGGTAAATGCTAGTATGTCCACTTTACATACAGAGAAACAGCTACAGGGAGGTAGAGGAACTCTTCAAGGTCCTCCAGCTAGGCTGTGAGCCTGGGCAGGCCGCCTCCTGAGACGGCTGTCACCACAGCTCCGGGTGTGCTCTTTTATCCTGTCTGAGTTTTAGTCTCATTAATGGAGGGAGTAGATACCTGATCTCATTTCCACCACAGAAAAAACGAGGCCATGTCTTGAGGACAGGGGCTGGAGCTCAGCTACCGTAGTCACATCTCCCCGATTCACAACACCATCTCCCACCCCTGCCCCACTTTCAAACTCATCTCTGGAAGAAGGACTCCAGAGACTTCTTCTTTCTTTTCTTTTTTCTTTTTCTTTCTTTTTTTTTTTTTTTTTTTTTTTACTAATAATGTGCAGTAGTAAGAAGAGAGGAAAGTATAAACCGGGAGTTCAGTCTATAACTGATTGTAAACAATCAGTTGGTTCACAGATTATTTTCAATCAAAGATGATGAAAAATTAGGGATGTCTGTCCCTTCTTGTTGCCAGATACCTGCCAAAAACTGGTTGGAAGAGTGGGACATCCAAGGTGAAATTAATTCAGTGAGCTACACTGGAAGTGTGTCATCCAGAAGAATGACCCAGGCTGGCAAGGAATGGAATGGCCAAGAGAGTTGAAAAGAACAGTGAAAAGTGGATGTTGGATGGCTTGATACTCTGGCTTCCGGCTGGGATGCAGACAGCTGGGAAGAGCATTACCACACTAACGACAATTGGACAATCTTCAAAGCTTTTGTCAACCTTCAGAGAACTGAGGTTGCAAAGCAACTAATTAACGTGAATTCCAAAGGACAGGAGGCTCTAAGAAGATACAGAATGCAGGCACTGATTTCCTTCTGAGGGGATATGAAATCTCCATGCATGAAAGTAAAAAGAACTAGCTAAAATGTTATTGAACTGTTTCAGCCCACTGTGGTTCAGACAGGGGCAGATGATCTGTAGGAATCCAGACGACAGAACAGTGACAGAGACAACTCCGTCCCTCACACCAATGGCCTAGCACAAGACAGCAATTTCCAGGTACAAATGACATTGTGCCTATCGTCCTATGTCCACGGACTGGTCAAAAATCACAGTGCACACATGGAAGCATTTCTTCAAAAACCGAAAATGTGGCCGGGCGGTGGTGGCGCACGCCTTTAATCCCAGCACTCGGGAGGCAGAGGCAGGCGGATCTCCGTGAGTTCAAGGCCAGCCTGGTCTCCAAAGTGAGTTCCAGGAAAGGCGCAAAGCTACACAGAGAAACCCTGTCTCGAAAAACTAGAAAAAAAAAAAAAAAAAAAAAAAAAAACGAAAATGTGGCCCACACCTGTAATCCCAGCACCTGGGAGGCAGAGGGAGGTGGAGCTCTGAGTTCAAGGCCAGCCTGGTCTACAGAGCAAGTTCCAGGATAGCCAGGGCTACAAAGAGAAACCCTT